TAGATTTGGTAGACAGAGTGCCTGAAGAACTATGGACGGAGGTCCGTAGTATGCATTTTATGTGCCATTTCCCTTCAAGTATAAATACAACTTTCCCCAATATACTAATATTTTCATGCAATTTTGAGCTAAGGACAATTTCTCAAAATGTGGAGCACAATGTACTCCAAAGGACATCTGTATTCTGTTCTGCACAGTAGTATGAAAAATGCGAATGTGCCTTGACTCCAAGCCTTGTTTGATTTCCTGGAAACACTGATTTTTGCCTGGACCTGTTAGTACCAGGCAAATCTTCTGAACTTTGATTGCTGCTATTGAATGCCTTGTTTTGACTCCCTAATTGGACCTTGACCATGTTTTTGCCTATTGATTCTTTTCTTAAGTTGTCTTTGTTGGTCTTTGACACTAGACTGTTTGACTGTGCCAGAGAACAGTCACAAGATTTTGAGAGGGCTGCAATATTGTGAAAGACACTAAGCCTACTGAACTGTTATTCCCTCATTAAGTGGGAGAAAAACCAACAATTTCAGGTTGCTGTTAGAAAAATTATGTTTTCACTGTGTAGCAGTAAGAAATTCCATAGAAGCAAAGTTATTTCACCATAATGCATAGAGTATTATTGAATCATGGCTATTTTTCAGTAGAGGAAGCATAGAGAGATACCAGGGCCATGAACATGTGCTAAGAAGCTGCAGTAGGTAAGGTAGAGGAAGAATCAGACAACTTCAATCTTAAGCAGGAATGGACAACTTTTGAAAGCTTAGGGAAGCAGCCTCACCCACTGAGGGCCACAGAAAGTATCTGGTGACATCACTGGAAGGGTCATGGCCAAACATTTTTAAACGGGGGGGGGGATTTTAAGGGTGGGTATGGGAGTAGGAGGTCCCTGAAGGCAAGATACAATTATTACTCCCTTTAGAACCACTGAACCTTGAAAAATTGTCTGAAATCAGATTTTTAATTCTTTTTGTGTTTTTAAGGTGAGAACAGGAGGCTTGGAGGAGACAAATGGTCATGTTCTCCTCCTTAAATGGCCCCACCCCTGAACAACCCAACCCTATGCCACTGAAACGGGATAACCTTTGACATCAAAGTTCACTGTGGTGATCTTGGAACTCAGGGGGCAGCAATGCAGCGCTGGGGCCATGTGCAGCCTGTAGGTTACCCACCCCTGCCTTTGGCAAAGACCAAACAGGAACTCTCTTGCCAGCTTGAATTAGTGCTGGGACCATCTGCTTGGTGGAATAGGAAAATGGCTGGGGAGAGTGGTGAGGCCAGTTGGGCAGTAGGGAGTACAGTTTGAGGTCTAATTAATCCAATTAGCCTCTCATGCAGGATTCTTGGGACTAGAGAGTACTTTCAATAGATTTGTACTGAACTCAATAGAAAAATCACCCTTCAGCCCTGCAAAAATGAAGGATATATGTAAAAACATAGGAAGCTGCCTTTTATATTCATGAAGTTGAGTATTCTCTACTCCGATTTGCAGCAGCTCTTTCTGATTTTTCACCTGAGCCTTCTAACTGAGGGTGCAACCTGAAACCCCAGGAATGGTGGAACCTGGACACAGAGCAAGTGAAATCTTGTCAGGAATGGCTCCAGCAAAGCTAGGCACAGATGGCATGTTCACCCATGAAATAACTGTGTCTATAGCTAAAAGCACTGAAGATGCTCCAAGATCTGGAAAAAAATATTGAAATACTATACATAAAACTTCTTCAAGGGAAGCCTTCCATGTTCTATAAAAACTACAACCTGGCTGTGAAAGACAGCCAAACCAAGAATAGCATGCTGATTTAATGAACAATCATAAAACAATATTTGAAAGTGGTTTCAGGATTTTGAAGTCACCCATGACCTTTCTTTTTTATTGTATCTGTTCACAAATGAAACCTATTCTAGTTAGTGTAGGAAACTGGGGCAGTAGTCCCAGCTGCAGTGCATATAATGACAAACAGCTTCAAAGGCACATAAACATTGAAATATGAACGAATCCCCTCCCTCCCTCCCTTCCCACTGCTCTTATTTAGAAGGCCCGATAGTTTAGCAATGAATTATTGACAGATTATGTAGCTTTGTATACCCTTATGGCAGCATATACATGAAATTAATGAATATGCACATATATAAAGCTCTTCTATTGCTAGTTGTAAAATATCCATACACTTCAATCTTTTGCACACAAAACTGGGTGTAAATTCCATTCAGTAAGGTTAGTTCAGATTATCTGGCAACTGATGTGGGAATTCTGCTTTTACAAGAAAGGAGAGAATACATAATGTACACTCTAATCCATGCTGTTTTGCTGTCTGCCATTACTATTTCTTTTGTGCATGATGCGCATTAGATTTTTTTGATGAGCAAGGATTTCAAAGCACAGAAGCTGTGAAAACTTAAATGCTTTACCAATCATTTCCTCAAGATTTCAGTCTTTCTACGAACATCAACCTTGCCATCTGCTTGCAGATAAAGCAACTTCTCGTTGGCCTTTTCTCCGGTGCTTTTCATTCTGGCTCTTTAGACAGCATTCCTCCTCTAAATTGAAAAGCATCCAATACAATTAAAAGAACAGCGAAGATCCATGTATCTCGCAAGACTGCTTGGAAGAATGCTGCAACAGCTGTTTTTGCTATTGGCAGATGGATCCTATTTCTTCGTGATGTGGACAGCAACATCTCAAAGGGAGTGCCATGTTCTCACTACAAAAATTGGAAGTGGACAAGTGTGGGTGATTTTTTTAGCCACCAATCATGCAATTCCTAGAAGAATTTAGGTTATTTTGTTTTTCAAAGGAAGTGGGAGTTTTCAGTATTATGACAAGAAACAACAAAATGCATTTTGGCCCTTACAGTCTAATTTTTAAAAAGTGGCCATCAATGTTGCCCACCCTAGCTTTGATCAATGCATCACGCATGACAAGGGATTTTAAAAAAAGCAAATGTTTATTACAGCATATCAATGCATTATATTAATTTATAAAGCAATATGATTTATATCAAGATATAAAACACAGCTGCTTATGTTGTACAGTTATTGGACACATTAAAACTGACACAACTGACACTCATGCTTTCAACATGCATATTTGTGTAGGCTGTATGGAAAAAAAATATTACACAATATACTTAAAGAGACTTTTGGGGTTTTCCCAAAGTCAAAGGAAAGAAGTATCAGACAATTGCCATTGTGTTGTATATTTAGAATACTGAGTTCTGGTTATTGCACCTCAAAAAGGATATTAGTGAGCTGGAAACGGTGCAGAAAAAGGCCACCAAAATGATCAAGGGGTTGGAACAGCTCCCATACAAAGAAAAGTTGTAACAGTTGGGATTTGTAGCTTAGAAAACTTGTATGAGAAAAGAGAGGCATATAAAAGTAAAATGCTGGAATGTAGGATCTTCCAAAAAAACTGAAAAGTAGATTCAGGAAAAACAGAGGAAAGTACATCTTAACCAAGTGAAATAGGATTGGTTTTACAAGGGTACTGGGCAAATTCCTAATGGACAAAGCTATCAACAGCTATCATTCATTATGTCTATTACCTCCAAGTCAGAGTGAGCTGGCCTTTCGGTTCTACTTCCTGGAGAACATGGGAGAGTTCTACTGCTATCCTTGTAAGCTTCCCAGAATTATCAGGTTGGTCTCTGTGGGGAACAGGATGCTAGACTAGATAAACCTTTAGTTCAGACCAGCAGAACTCTTACATTCTAACCCTAGTAGGGAGACAGAATGGAACTAGAAAGCAACTGAGTGGGGTGAGGGGGAAAATTCCCCATCCTAACCTCAATGCATATAATCAGTGTGGAAGAAGCTATTATAGCTTTATCATCCAGCCTATTTGCCCCAGCGTATTTTAAGATTTTTTAAAATTAAAAATAAATTAGAAACTGGCATCCTGCAAAACCAAGCATCAACCCTTAGCAATGTCTTTATTGACTTTAACGCTTTATTCTTAAACAAAGAATTATTAAAGGAGGGAGAAGAAGAATTAGCAAGATCTACAGGTTTTCAGAAGTGAAAGTGTTTGGGCTATATATTGCTATTTACTACTATTCCCATGGTTTAATTCTAATAATTCATCAGGGTACCAAGCATCTAAAGGTTCAAGGCTTATATCTTCTGCAGAATCCTCAGTCCGAAAAGCACTTGTGAGACTAGGTTGGTTCAAGACAAAGCATACCAATGAAAAGTATCCCTAAATTATATTCTTCAACCACCCCTCCACTTGGAATATTTACCCTAATTTGAAGTATTGTTTTAAAATCCTCACTTATGTACAGAACTACAAAACAATACAAAATACTGAACATATTTCTTTGACATTTTAACTAGCGAACGATGGAGTTTGAAACCTTGGAATACAAATAACATCTGAGAATTTGATATTTGCCAAGATTTTTTTTTTTAAACTCAATTTTAGAAGTTCAAGCACTTGAGGATGGATAACAACTGGAATCACTTCATTCAAAATTCAGAAATGTTGCTGAACTTCCAGATGTTGCCAATATTCTGATTCAGTGCTTCTTCTGGGTTGGCATTTCATTCCAAACACCTTTTTCAGGTTTTAAATCTTGATTGTAAATGTTAGAACATATTCTTAAAATTCAAAATGTATAGGGAATGTTCTTATGATGGCAAAGCAGTTTCAGCCCAAAGTATCCAGCAGATTAAATAAAGGATGGAAGGCTGCATGTCATGTTGTTAGAATTCGCATCAAGACTGCACGATGAGGTGTATTTTAGGTTCCCTCCATAAACATCCTTATTCAAAGTGCTTGAACTTTCACAAGACTAATAAAGCAGTCTCAAATGGCAGAAGGCAGATCTTCCTACCCCATCTAAATCCTAGAAACTGAAAGAGCGGTCTGCAGGTATAAGGGAGGATTTGAAGCGTATAGCATTCTCTTCCCTCATCTAACTATTTGGGTTGCCACCTCCTAATCCAATTCAGTATTCAGTCCTACTAAAAGTCGTACATGAAAGTAAGAGATGAATACAGTAATTCAAGAGGTAGAGCAGATGTCCCAAGCTCCCATCCTCTTATGGATCTCAGAAAGTAAGACTGGGAAAAGCCATAGAACAGTGGGCTAGATGGATCATTATCTAAATTCAAGGCAGCTTTAGGTGGTTATGGCTCAGTGCTGAGGCTCCTCCTTTTGTAGGCAGTTCAATCCCTGCTTTAACATTTAAAAATCATCCAGGAGAAAGTTATGGGAAAAACCTCTGCTCAAGACTCTGAAGGCAGCTTTAATTCAGAATAGACAGTGCTGAACAACATGAACAGTTAATCTGAGTATAAATAAGGAGGCTTCAAGCAAGATCTTGAAAATGCTCTCTTTTTTGTAAATATAAAATGTATGTGGATTATGGAGATTATGCGTTTTTAAAAACCTCATACAAATTACTCTACTGCTACTCAGAATCACCAGCTACACTTTTGGTTGCTGTTTGTTTTTTGTCCATGTGAATGTGACATGTTTCTCTCTACATGAGCTGAGGTAGAGAAGCTTTTCTGTGTTAATCAGCGATGCTGTATGAATCAACACAACCCTTGCCAAGAACTTTGTTTGCTTATTTATAAAATGTGTATCCTGCATTTTCATCATTTTTAACCACCTTTTTACATCAATGTTTCTAACACTGTTTTTTAATCAACATTTGTTCGTTAAATCTTCCATTTCTCTGTGTCTTAATCTGCCTGAGCAGAAAACTGATGTTTTAATCCTATGCTTAAAAACTAGCACAGTGGCCTTTGTTTTCACCACTTAAAAGGCACTAGTGTTGATTCAAAAACATGGAGGTTCAAGTGATATTACCTAAGCAGTCCATTAAGACTTAAATATGTGCCTTTGGGGGGGGGAAAAGCATTCTAGAAAAATTATTTACAAGAAGCACCTTGTTTTGTTTATGTAGGCAGATGTGTGTTGGTCATATCTTCATAAGAACTCTTTTGGCAGATGACCATCCAGCTAAAAAGCAGCAGCACCAGAGGGATCAAAAATGGTCTGTATAGGACAACCTTCCCTGATGGGCTGGACTGCTACCTTTCTTGATGGCTGTGAATTCTGGGAATTGCAGTTCCCACACTGGAAGGTATCAGGTTAGAAAAGGCTGCCAGATTCTTTGTTGTTGTTGTTGTTCCCTGCTCACACCAGACTTGTAAGTAGCCACTTGCCTGATTGCTTAAGGCAAGTGAGAATGGCCTTCAGGCATCAAGCAGGAAAGTCTGTAAACTTAAAAGAGCTAATTCTCCCCTTCTCACAAAGCAGGCCCTTGTCATGCCAAAAGTGAAGCATCAGAAGAAGGGGATAAAATTTGCCCAATGTTCTGTTGTTTTAAGGGATATTTCAAAATTTAAGTCAGAGATAGACACCCTGGGTCATATGGAGTCCTCCAGCACCCTATTTGTAACCTCCAGATTCCCCCCAAATGGAATGAGATAGAAACTTTCATTCTATGGTATGGTCTGGAGGATTTTTAAGGCCAAATTTCCCTTGTTGGAGATTTCAAGGAGTAAAATAGATGACTTAAATCTCTGCAAGGCTTAAGGCAAACACTGTACCCCTTAAATTTCCCCTAAATAAGTCTGCAGTATTTGTCCCTGTCCCAAAAACGTTGTCATTCTTTAACATTCCTTGGGTAACCTTAGAGTGGTGATTCTTAAACTGACCTCCGAAGCTGGAAAAGATGTGGAAACCTTGGAATGGCACAACACTGTCACCTTGTGGGACATGCCCTTCCCTCCCTTGCTTGATCTGGGCAAACCCTCGATAGTCCTCAGCCCAAAAAGCAGACGTACACAAACATGTGCACTCGGGTCACAGAAAAGTTGCTTGCCCTGCTCCTCAAGATGTTAAGGCAGGCAGCTCTGTTGACAGCCAGTTAAGGGCCTTCTTGGAGCCAGCACTGCTGCACAGCTTCCAAGTCCTGAAGAAATGTCCCCAAGACCCACCAGAGTCCTGACACTCACTTCCCTTACACAGAGGCGTTTCGCCAATAGGCAGAGATACTGTGATCATCGCTGCTATAATTTATTTTTCATATGCATTTAGACAGTAGTCATCAGTTTGAGAGAGCCAGACCGAAAGCGGAGGATTTTCTTCTTAAGGTTATGGGATGCTTTAATCTTAACAAAGGCTTTGGCTGCATTTTCATGGAGCTCTGAAGCAGCAGCCACTGCCTGGATAGGAAGGGTCTGAACAAACTGGGACCAAAGGAGGCCCCCACTTTCATCTGAGTCACTGGTGGTTGTGCTTTCACCAACAAACTCCACTCCACTTAAGCTGGACTCACTGTCCCCAAAGCAGTTGGTGGTATAGTTGCTCCTTTCATCCTCGCTGGTGTCCACTACAGTGGAGTGGAAGAGGGATTCACATTCAGCTGAATATTCTGAGTCACTAGCAACATAGGCATAAGGACTAATATAAGGATGTGGAATCTGCGAATAGACTCCTATAGCTTCTCTCCTGTTCCTCCTCGCCCTCCTAAGGGCATCTTCATAAGATACCTCTGCAGACAGTTTCCAGCGCCGATAGTCAGCTCGCTTGTGTTTGGGCTTGGCAACCACTGGTTCTCTGCTGTGTCCATGGGGCCTCATCATAGACCTAAATACGCCTGGCTGCCGACTCAGAAGGTTGGCGTCTGGCTGCAGATGGATACCTTTCTTCCCTCTCAAAGTGGTCTTTTTTGCCTTCTTATTTGTATCCAAGTCATCCAGGAAGTGACACTTTTTGCCCACAGGTTTGGCCCTCTCACGTCCAGCCTGAGGCCCATTTTCCAACACTGTGACAAGATGAGACTTGTGTTTCACCATAGAACTTTTGAGAATTTTGACACTCCTGGTGCCTTTGTGAAGTCTGACTGTTTGTGGCTGAGCAGGTATGAACTGGGCATTCACGAGCAATCCCTCCTCCAGACTCTGAGATGATGACCCCTCGCTCTTAAATTCCACTAATGGTCTGCTCTCCTGACCTGACAAAACAGAGCAAGCTGACTGCATCCCATTGCTTTTAAATGATAACTTTTTGGGAAGCTGGATGGCTTTCTTTTCTTTCAAGGATGTTATGTGCTGTCCTGGGCTTTCTTTAGGACATGTCAAGAAGAGTTGACCACTTTCCTTGGGAACATCACTCGTAGTCACAGGGGATCGCATCACTTCTTGAGTTTTGACATTCCTCACTGACTGCTTGCTTTGATCATTATTACCATTTGGTGGGAAAACAGCAGGTGCAGGTATCTTTTTTAACTCCACATGCTCTATTTCTCTTGAATGCTGCTTTAGGGGAGAAAAGGCACTGTTATCTAGGGTGAGACTGGTTCCACTGGAATGTGAAGGTGGCTGACTGAGGTTCTTAATGTTAGTGGTATTGCTAGAAGCAACACTAGCCATCTGCCGAAGACACAAGCTTCCATGTCTCAAAATCCCCTTGGCCAGGTCTGCATTCAGATTCGTTCTTGGTTTATTAGTCCTAACTGAAGGGGCCTTTTTTTGCACAAGGCTCAAGATATATCCATCCATTTTTCTGTTGGGCAAAGGACAGGATGGAGAATGAGAGGTGTGCGGGAGACAAGAATCAACTGTTTTTTCTGAGCTGAGTTCAGCTTCAACGCAAGCATCATCAGCATTGCCACTGGTTCTTTCTTCTTCTTCTCTTGGGGGACCACTGGTCACTGGCAGAAGGAACATGGGGCTCTGCACTGCAACAGCATGTAAGGGGCTGGGATAACGGTATACATCATTTCCATTTTTAGACACCAGATCGCACTGATACTTTGGATGTACATCTGCAACAATGTCAAGAGAATCTGAGTGTGGCATTGATGGAGAGCCAGAGGCCATCCCCACTGTGTCATTGTGTTGGATTCCTTTGTTATGCTCCAGCCAGCTGATGAAATCTGAAATTCAATGAGGTGGGGATAAAATAAGTAAGGAATAACATTTGGAGTTGAAAGTGGAAGTAATAACTTCCTATTGCAATGATTGTAATTTAGATTAATCATAATGCATGTCTACAATCCAAATGAGAACATAGCCAAGGATACTGTTTTCTGTAAAATCTGGATTGGCAGATGCTAATCTCAACATACTTAGAGAGCTCCACACTGAGGATGGCTCCCTTAACCCGCAGATTTGAGACAGATTACAAATAAAAATACAATACAAATTCAAAGCTTTTATTTTGTTTGCATGATGTTATTATTATAATATTTAGTCCCTACCAAATTATTGTAATTCGCTTAAAAAAGAAAGGATATAAAGATGGGGCTGAAGACATGTCCTAGTTCTCTCTATCCCCCAGCTGCCAGCTTGTTGGCTACAGCCTATTTTCTTTCTCCCATATCAGATGATGGCTACACTTAGGGGAAAAATGAGAACATGGAAACAGGGCTGAGCCATATTTTGCTTAATCATTATTTACTGAGTAAACCATGATTGGTCCACAGAAAATACTGTCACAAACCATGGTTTATAAACTACAGTGTCTCGCTTCACACGACAGATCAAAATGTTTTTAGTTTACTGTGCTGTGTGAACGTAGCAACTGATCTGTTGGATCATACCATCAGATCCAGTGCTATTTATCCAACAGCTGGTAACTCTGTAGAAGCTCATATGGTAATACTATTGTTTTCTATCCTTGCCATGTATCCCAATATCTACTGACCAGGAACAAATAAGCACAAGGCTGATCAGGAACCAGAATAGCCCCAAGGGTTAGCTTGGTGGGTTGCATGAGCACCCTAGCATATGCTGCAAAGGAAAATACAGGTAGTCTCCAGGTTAAGAATGCCCAGTTTATTGACGGCCCATAGTTAAGAACGGAGCCTATTATAGCAAAATTCGAGTTAAATACACAATGATTCGAGTTCATTACACAATTCTACTTATACAGTATTATACAATAATATTGTTCTGGCTTACATCAAATTCAGCTTAAGGACAGACCTTGGGAATAGAACTTGTACTTAAGCTGGGGACTACCTGTGCCCTTAACCACACCTGGGTATTAGAAATTCTTGCTATACCTGCAGACTTGGGCCGTCCATCTGAGCTACTCAAGGATGCATCCAAAGAGCTGCAGAAGCAAGTACTGGAGTGACAACTGGATAAACACTCACTGAAAACAGAGTTTGACGAGTTGGAGAGTGATCCAGAAGCCCCATCACTCAGCTCATAAAACCCTATTAAAAACAAAAGAATTCATTAAAGCTGCTCCTGGCTAGTAGTATGAGAAAGGAATAGGGGAATAATCTAGCATATTCCTCCAGAGTCTAAATTCCCATTCCAAATAAAAAGGGAGTTGATTTAAGAAAATGCGATGGACTGGAGAGAATGTAGCAACCTGATAGATCTGAGAGTAGATCCCACATTTACTTCTTAATGAAACAATACTCCTGGTAATCTCCCACTTCTTTTAGTAAACAAATGTCAAATGCCACTGCAGGAATAGTGGCTATCAGTGGCTTTTTCTCTGATAGACACACTAAAATATAGGGCTGCAGATGCAATAACTGTCAGATACAAAGGCCAGTAAAAGTAAAGGGAGGCTTCATTTGATATGGGCATATTTTCAGATGCTGTATAAATAAATGGATCTCCAGCCAAGACTGAACCTAAACTAAGAAGCTATAGCAACTCATGTCAGCTGAGTAGGCAGGGGTTTTGCTGCAACTTCCTCAACTTGTTTCTTATAGCCTAACTATTCTCGGTGGGTTATAATTCCTTGGCAGTTGCCTTTTCCATGCAAGATGGAAGCCATTTGACATTTTTTATTTAACATTGGAGTTCTGTGGACCATATGTAGGGATGTCACAGATGCCTGGGCACCCACAGAATGCCACGTTGCCAAGCCCTCTTCTACAAGATCTAAAGTCTGCCAATCACCCTAGCCTGGCTTAGCTATATAAAATGCCTACCTGAGCTGGGACGGCTATCCATGTCCAGGTGTTCATCTGCTGTCTTTTCAACATCCAGCCTCAAATCACTGATCTGTTTGTCCAATTCTTGCAATTGGTTTAATAAGCCAGCATCTCTTCTTCTTAAGCAGTTCTGAAATAATAGCCAGAAAGAAAAGAGATTTCAGTATGACAGACCAAGGAAGAATAAATATATAGCAACAGAAGAAACCAGCCCATTGTCACTAGATTTTGTGAACAAATATTGTTTCTAGTAACCAAAGTTTGGCTTTCTTACTTCCTGTTCCAAAGGCCAACTGTTTTCCCTTTATACCATTATGGTATTGCACTCATAAAGAACGAATAAGAGGAGTTGAGTGTGTAAAGGTGCCACATAGAAACACAGCATAGATCTATTTTGTAAGACATACTTTTGGTCTCCATAATCAGTTCCAGGACACTTTTTGCTATTAAGAAAGAAAGATTATTCTTATAGTAAGGGATATTGAAGTGTTTTCTCTAATTGTTACCAGAATTATATTTCTGAGAACCAGTGGCTATTATATTTATGGATCTGTGACTATTCAAATTTTCCCTTCTGTTTCATCTTATCAGATGGCTGAATACTCATTGGCACACCTCCCCCACAATTAACATTCTACCTCCAAGCAGCCGAGGTCCCACTCTAAGGATGGCTCAATTTTGGTAATTTCTGAAGCTCACAAATTCCTTGTATTTGTGTTCAGCCATTTACCCCACCTTCAGCCCCCAACTATATACATTCAATCAATCAATCAATCAATCAATCAATCAATCAATCAATCAATCAATCAATCAATCAATCAATCAATCAATCAATCAATCAATCAATCAATCAATCAATCAATCAATCAATCAATCAATCAATCAATCAATCAATCAATCAATCAATCAATCAATCAATCAATCAATCAATCAATCAATCAATCAATCAATCAATCAATCAATCAATCAATCAATCAGCAAACAATCTCACTTTCAAGCATACTCCATGTGAACCCAGCCAATAATTAGGTCATTATCTGAAGCTCTTCTCTAGACACCTCCTGCCTTCAGAAACAAGGTGATTGAGCTATCAGATGAGAGTTTTTACACAGTGGCATTCCAGCTTTGGAAACTTAAAATTTCCCCTAGTGCTGTCACTAGACTCATGTAGGTGGCCAAATTAAATCTGTCTTGTTCAACCAAGCTCTTAATTAACTGAACCCATTTTAATTATGGAGGGAAGGGAAATGTACACAATGTTTATGAAATAACATTGATGCTTTATTTTTAGCACATGGGCAAGTTTTTAGACTTAAGAAAAGTTATAATTGCAGATGTTTATTATAAGTTGACAAGAGATTTTTTTTGTAATGGAAAGACAGGATAAACTTTAAAAATGAGGCAAGAAACTGAGTTTCATTCAAGGTAGATAGACTCTGAACACTTGCTGACCTTTTCCTGAACTTGCATAGAATTACAGGCCTACTGTTATAATACAGCTTTCCCCAGCCTGGCGCCCTCCAGATGTGTTGGGTTACAATTGGCAGAATTCCCAGCTCTGCTCTTCTGCAAAATAAACGACCTGAGACAGGTATCTTGTCTGAATAGTTCAGGCTAGATATTAACCCATGTTCCTTGAATGACAAATTATGGTTCTATATCCTTAAAAATGATGTTGTGATTAGAAGAACTAGATCAATGCACTTGAAGCCCTAGTGGTAATCCCCATCCTCAGTTAGAGAAATGAATTGCTTGCTTGAAGCAACAGGAGCGCTTAAGCAAAAGATATTCTTCATGCATAGTGTTATAAAATGAGTTTAAAATAAGCTCATTAACCTCAGGTCAGAGCAATCAGTTTTCCTGCTGAATCTTATAATTATATCTATCCATCAATAACACTGTTGCACAAAGCTTTTATTTTATATATATACTCAGCTCTGCATCTTCCAATATTTCACTGCATTCCTCTGGAAAAGAACTGCTTCTCAGAAGAAGAAAAATGGAAAATCCACTACCTTATAGGGTTCCATCTGGCAGGACAAATGTGTCAACCCTTCTGCTTCTCAACATGCTGTCATTCAAGGGCAGTTTCATACAACCCAAATCACTTAATAGTCCAAGGCCATTCAGATGCTGCTTGTGATGGGGAAGCACCTTTTGAGATGCCCCTTAAGGGGCAAGTGCTTCAGGTTTCTGCAAGCTCTGGTTGCCTTGTTACAGCATGCACTTACCAGGTTATGGAATATTTTTTGACCTATTGGGTAAAGAAAATTCACTTTTTTCCCCCAACTTTTCTCCAAAACTGTTCTGGGTCTGTGAGAAAGCTTGAAAGCAGTGGAAAGGAATAGATCTCATTTGGGTAAAACTGGAAACATTCATCTCTATGTGAATTTTTTTTCTAAGAAATGCAGAAGGGCTTATTCATGCTTTCCCTGCATTAGAGAGCCAAGGGGTTATGACATTAGGAGCATTACATGCCACTGTGCTTCCAAGAGCAGCATGAAGAGGTGCCAGTCAGAACGTGTCTTTGGTATGCAATCCAATGGAGTGTGTTCATCCATTGGCGTGCGATGGGAGGGAAAAACCCTTTCCTACTGAAAGAAGTCCTTGTTGGCCATAGGCCTTCTTCCTCTATTCAATGGAGTGTAATTTTTTTCTCCATTTGCCTGAAGGAGGGAGGAAGAATTTCCCTGAATTACCCTACCTCCATTCACAAAGGTTTCTGCTATCTCCCTCTCTCTCTCTCTCTCTCTCTCTCTCTCTTTTCTTGCCCTTCTGTCTGGGTGAGAGCAGTTATAGAGACAAAGCAAACACCCTTGGTGACTAGCCACACCCCAAGGGAATCATGTTGCAGGTGTGCCTATGATACATACATACATACATATGTACATAGATATAGAGATATATATAGCGTCCCTGGTCCCAAGGGTGACTCCAGCAGTGCACAATTCTCCACTTCAATTCCAATCTATTTTCCAGCCTCCATTTCCCAGATTGGTTTCCAGATGGTGGCCGCAACCCGATCAAAGCCCTGCTCTTTTTTTCATGCATTGTGATCCATGTAGAAAAGGGGATCTCTTTCATCACTATCATCCTGAGTTTTTGACCATCCTATATCAAGACCATTAAAAGTTCTAGCAAATTCATTCATACAACATGCTATGCTGAGATAGAATTACCATGGATTCAGTTTTTTATAGTTTAGTGCGTTGTGTGAACCCAACCCATTTGATTAACTTATGATTCGGTGTATTGTGAGAATCCAGAAAATGAGTTAATTCAGTAAGAAGGTAAAAAGTACTGTGTACACAGAGCATATCATTTGAGCATATCCTCAAAAGCAACAACAGAAAGTCACAAATACTGTAAGCCTCTATACAGTCGCCCCAAGCAGCTCCAGATCCTGTTCTGACAAACTGATATGGATAGAGAACACCCATGTCATAAGCTTGATCCTGTCAGTGCCGGTCCAGCTCCAATTCTGCCCATGTCAAAATACTCACTAGATCAACACAAAAGCAGAGTAAAGAAACGGTAAAGCCTTCTTCTAGTCAAGCTCAAGTTCAGAAAAGTTTGCATGTTGTTTTCTCAGAGACAGTGTAGAAATGGTTCGTCACTGCCTTCTTCTGACTTTCCAGCTTAGCCTACAGCCCTAGCATGGCTTTGAGGTCTCTAACCAAGTACTAACCAGGTCTACCCCAGCTCAGCTTTCAGACATTCACCAAGGTCCCCCTCTATACACAATCATAACTGCTAATAAAACCTTCAACTCATTTTTTCACTATTTAAAAACGATCCCAAAACAGGTCTGTTTCAGTGCACTTTGAGCAAGATTTGCTCATCATTATGGAATATGTCTTTAAAAAATGTTAAATGTTACAAAAAATTTAAATTAAAATGCGTGTTCTAAAAATGGATACCTATTATTTAATAAACACAATATAGGGCATAGCAGAGCTGGGGGGGGGAGGAGCTGCTACTGCAACCGAGTTTAATCTTTTCCACCAAATGATCCTAATGCAATCCAGAATTACACTAATCTAGGAGTGCTGGGAGGAAGACATTATTTCCCACCCCCAGGCAATTCCATCCCCAGGTCCAGTGTGTCTCTCCCAGCCCATCAGTAGTTGTTTGGTGAGACTAAAGGCCACTCCTTCTAAACTCTAAGGACAGACAGGCAGACCCTTATCGGAAGAGCACGGGGATATGGGGAGCCCTCTTTGCCTGAGGTCTCCTAGCCAGCCAGGGATACAAGGACAGAACCAATTTCTTCTCCCACTTTAGAATTGGCAACACAGGCACTGATGCTGAAAATATACCACAACTCCCATGTGCCCCAAAGCAGCATTGATGCTGAATGATGGAACAATGAGCAGGATGGTGCAAATGTAAGGCTTCAAGCAGGGCTCCTTGGATGGAAGGCCTAAGAATGGACGGGCTAAGAATTTTACTGAAGAGGCAATGCTTCTTTAAGGGCCCAGGAACACTGTTCAGCATGAAGTGCTCTACATAAAACCCTTGGGCAAAAGGAAATCTTGCCTGGAAACAACTTCTCCTACAGTCTTTTGTTCAATCTCTCCTTGTAGCTATGTCCAGGGTTCTGCCTGAGTTTGCTCATTTGGACTTCTGAGCTTAGCTTGACTCTGCTGTATGCCCACTTCACTGGATTTACGATACAAGGTTATCCTTGCTGGGTTGAACCTGGACAGGACTTAGGCATCCTTGCTTTCTTTGCTCTGCTGCAAGTGTCTCTTGTGTCCCCAAACCTTGGCTTGACAGGTTGCACCTTTTCACTTGCATCCCTTTGGACACAAGACCTGGAAAGCAAGGATTGTCGAGGGACAAGCTGCTTTCTTCCGCCCCAGCCCTATGCATGCTAAGCCTATCCCGTGCATCTGGTGATGCAAAGATGCAAAGGTACAGAAAGATGCAAAGGCGAATCTTTGCCTCACCTGATGCTGCAAGAGCTGCTCACCTATGTCTTTAAAACCAGTAAATTTGTTAACAAATTCAGAGCAGGCATTGGTTACTCTTTATTTTTCATGAGTTGAAGGCTGCACTCGGTTATGTGGTATGCTGTGGGTTGCACAAAAAAAAGTAGGTGAGAACAGAAACAAAAGTGGTTGAGTT